CACCTGCTGGTTTCCCCCCCAGGTCTGTTGGATTTTGGTGGTGGATGCTGCTGGTTCCCCCCCCCCCCAGGTCTGTTGCATTTTGGTGGTGGATGTTGCTGGTTTCCCCCCAGGTCTGTTGGATTTTAGTGGTGGTGCTGCTGGTTCCCCCCCCCCCCAGGTCTGTTGGATTTTGGTGGTGGATGCTGCTGGTTTTTCCCCCAGGTCTGTTGGATTTTAGTGGTGGATGCTTGCTGGTTTTCCCCCAGGTCTGTTGCAGTTTGGTGGTGGATGCTGCTGGTTCCCCCCCCCCCAGGTCTGTTGGATTTTGGTGGTGGATGCTGCTGGTTTTCCCCCAGGTCTGTTGGATTTTGGTGGTGGATGCTGCTGGTTTTCCCCCAGGTCTGTTGGATTTTGGTGGTGGATGCTGCTGGTTTTCCCCCAGGTCTGTTGGATTTTGGTGGTGGATGCTGCTGGTTTTCCCCCAGGTCTGTTGGATTTTGGTGGTGGATGCTGCTGGTTCCCCCCCCCCCCCAGGTCTGTTGCATTTTGGTGGTGGATGTTGCTGGTTTTCCCCCCAGGTCTGTTGCATTTTGGTGGTGGATGCTGCTGGTTTCCCCCCCCAGGTCTGTTGGATTTTGGTGGTGGATGCTGCTGGTTCCCCCCCCCCCCAGGTCTGTTGCATTTTGGTGGTGGATGTTCTGGTTTCCCCCCAGGTCTGTTGGATTTTGGTGGTGGATGCTGCTGGTTTCCCCCCCCCCCAGGTCTGTTGGATTTTGGTGGTGGATGCTGCTGGTTTTCCCCCCAGGTCTTTTGGATTTTGGTGGTGGATGCTGCTGGTTTTCCCCCCAGGTCTGTTGGATTTTTCGGTGTCCTGACCTGTCTCCTGTAATCTTGGAATTCTGGAACCTTGAACCTTTGGACTGGCTTTTGACTACGGTATAGACTCTTGACCCCTGGACTTTGTTTATTGACCCCTCAGCATTTGACCACTGGACTGGACCCTTTTGACTACGAAGTTATTTTTGCTATCAGTTTTTGTTTATTCTGTAGCTGCGTGCTATCTTTGTGTTTTATATTTTGGACTATAAAAACAGCCAGCAAGTAAGTGCTGTTTTAATTAAACTATTTGATAAAAGACGACTGGGCATATAAGACGTCCCCCAACTTTTCCAGTTAAAATATAGAGTTTGGGATATATTTACTGTATAAGACTACCCCTATTCCAACGCACAACAGATAAACTTTTTAAAAGCATCAGATTTGATTTCAATATGGTAATTTTCCTATTACTGTACTTCCTTCTCTGCCTCTCAGATCTCGCACATGCGCACCTGCACCACTTCACTGCAGTCTTCAGGAGCGAGATCTGAGAGGCAGAGGAGGAGGTATGGTAATAGGATACAAGGGCAGACCAGACAGGTAAAAGAGTTGTGTTTTTCTGGGCCCAGAGCCACTCTAGCTCTTTCTTCCATACCCCGGGTGCCCCAGAAGCCTGCAGCTTGAAGCCATTCTCATTTTTGAGCTCCCCCCACCATATGTGGCAACCACAGATTCTCCAATCTGATTGGAATTTTCAGCACCCATTCTATAAGACAACTCCCGTGTATAAGACTACTCCTGTGTATAAGACTACTCCTGTGTATAAGACGACCCCTGACTTTTGAGAAGATTTTCTTGGGTTAAAAAGTAGTCTTATACACCAGAATATATGGTAAACTGTTTGATAAAACTGGGAGTTTGATTCATCTCTACCTAAATAAGGTAGAGCCATGGCAACGTGACATATCTGAAGGCTGCTGTGTGTAAAAAGCTACTGAGTGAAGCTCCTGTATAAGTTCGGTGTGTGAAAGGCTCTGTGAGAGCGAGGCTGTTTATCTGTATGAGAAAGAAGCCCAGAATTTTGAGAATATTGAGACTGGATTGGGGTGAATGAACCAAGAATTTTTGGCAGATTTTTTTAAAAAAATGCAACATAGGGGTGTTTTGTCTGATTGTAATGAATTATTCAATACAGGGGGTGGATTGGTGAATTAAGAATATTGAGAATGAAAATCTAGAGAGAGAAATTGTCGAGGTGCAGCCATAGGAGATGAGGTAAAATCAATTTAAATGAAAAGGGAATATATATATATATATTTGGGGGGGGGGATTAAGGTGATCCAAACTCTGAACACACTCCACACGTTCCCAGGGTGCAAACGACGCCTTCTTGGAAAGGAAGGCCGAGTCCTCGGTCTCTTTGGAGGCCAGGCTCTTCCTCAGAGCCCCCCTTGGACCTGCATCTGGCTGCTGGCCTGCTTCTCTGGAAGGAGGGCGTGCAGCTCCTGGCTGGTCATCTTCGCCTTGTGCCAAGTGCTGCGGTAGCTCTGCAAGGTCATCTGTACAATGGGCAGAGAGGAAAAGAAGGCACACGCTCAGTATGGCATGGTTAGGAGGGCTCACGCGCAGTGCCCACTTCTATATCTCTATATCTTCCCAACTAAGACTAGAAATCAAGGAGATTGAAATTCAATAGCTTAATCTGGAGAACTGCACGGTCCTTACAATCAAGACAAGACAAGCGTCAAGAAAAGGCTATGGAATCAAAGAGTTGGAAGGTATCAAGGAAGTGGAAGCGTGCTGGGAACCATAACCCTTATCAAGGCCATTTGCTGGCCAAATTGCTTCTTATCATCCAGTTAACTGCCTTCAGACAGTTGTTGCAACTCAGAGTAGGTTTCACCTTGCTCCCAAACACCACCACACCAGAGCTGTAGATTTTGTAGTATATTGAGGAAAAACAAAGTCAAAACATAGAGTAAGCAATGCAAAGTTCCGAAGACAAAGGTTAAATGCAAAAGCACAGTTCCCAAGATCCAAAGGCAAAAACATGAAGCATAATCCTTTAGGCAAAGATCAAACAAGAGTCCATGGTAAAACAGTGAAACACAAGACCAGAAAATCCCAGATTCAGGAAGCCAAAAGCGTGCTGCTTATAGCCAAGGTTAATCCATAGGAGTTTGCATAGAAAGAGCCACACTGAACTGACAATTTCCCTTTGTCAACCAGAAACCTAAATAACCTTTGCTAACATGAAGGCATTGCGATGACCTTTGACCGACTTGGCTTCTTTCTTACTAGCTAAGCGAGAACTCCTCCTGACCCTCCAATCTAAGCGTTCTTGCCTGCTCATTAATTCACTATCTTCAGTGCTCTCCTTATCAGTTTGGTCCAGTTGGACCAAATCACTGTGGGAAGGCTGAGCAGGCGAAGACAACTCCACCTGGCCGTCTTCCATGACACATACGAGATATCCACAGTAGCTAAAAACAATCCAAAGTCAGTTTGTTTGTTTGAAAGGAGAGAGAGAGGTTCCTAAACGCTGCTGCGGCTTGCAAGGGCGGAAAAAAGGAACTAAGGCTAATAGCCCCGCCCATGCATTATATATGCTTCCTGGAAAGGATGGGCGGGGCCCTAGCCACTTGGAGCTAAAGAGCTTGTTAGAAGGTTCCAACCTGCTGTGCATGTGCGGTGATTACTACCATATGTGTGGATTTCACAGATGACCACTCGAAGAAACATGGTTACAGGCAAGCAACCACACTTTCTTCTGTTTGAGGCTTCATTAAAATCTGCACCTGAGGATAACTGACCCTGGGACTGCAGCTCAGAGCTTCTCTCAGGCTCAAGACCTTGAGATTCCTGTTTGCAGCAACACAGGCCCTGTCTAAGCCATCCACTGACCTGCATTCAGGCCCCACATCCCTAAAACTAGGCCCAGGAGACAGACCATCATCCCCATTACTATCAGAGGAATCAACTTGAACATAAACAACATTGTCATTCCCATCATCCAAAGCAACCTGATCATTGGACACAATTACAGGCTGAACAGAACAAAGGGGCAGCCTTTACCTCTGCGATCTCCACCTTCCTCTCCCAGATGCGGAAGGTGCCGCCGAGCTCCTGGAGCGCTATCTTCTGGCGGACGTAGTCGAGCACCGGCGGCACTTTGTACTCGGCCATTCGCCGGCGGAGCTTCTGGTTCAGGGCCTCGGCCACTTCTCGCTCCTGGGGACAAAACACACACAAACACTTCCTTTCTAGGTGTCGTTGCCCTGGTAGGATTCCGACGCCCACCTTCCTTCTGTTTCGTCTTTAGCACAACACAAGGCAGCGTTTGGTGCAGCACTTAAATTAGAGACCCGTCCTCCTTCTCTGCCGTTGGGCCAGCTTGGGCGAGTCACACTCAGAAGAAAGCAAGGGGAAACCTCCCCTGAAGAGGTCTTGCCAAGGAAACCCTGGGACAGGGTCACCAGACTTTAGAGTGGACTTAAAGGCACAGAGGAAACAAATCCTACACATTTTGTTTACAAAACACAAAGATAGCTGCCTTGGAGACTAGGACTCAATGGAGCCATGGGTTCCAATGACAGGAAATGAGATCCCACCTGAACATTAGAAGGAACTTCCTGACTGTAAGAAGAGTTGTTTAGCAGGGGAACTCTCTGCCTCAGGGTCCAGTGGAAGCTCCTTACTTGAAGGCTTTCAAACAGAGGCTGGGTGGCCATCTGTCGGAGGGACTTTGGTTGTGCTTTTCCGTCCTGGCAGAAAGGGGTTGGACTGGATGGCCTTTGGGGACCCCTTTTAAATTTAGGATCCTATTATTACTACTATTATTATTATTACTATTATATTATTATTATTAAGCAGAGGCTGCATGGCCATCTGTGGAGGGGACTTTGGTTGTGCTTTTCCCTCCTGGCAGAAAGGGGTTGGACTAGATGGCCTTTGGGGGTCTCTTCTGAATCTAGGATCCTATTATTATTATTATTATTATTATTAATAATAATAATAATAAGCAGAGGCTGGATGGCCATCTGTCAAGGGGACTTTGGTTGTGCTTTTCCTTCCTGACAGAAAAGGGTTGGACTAGATGGCCTTTGGGGATCCCCTTTTAAATCTAGGATTCTATTATTATTATTATTATTATTATTATTATTATTATTATTGTTATTAAGCAGAGGCTGGATGGCCATCTGTTGGGGGGACTTTGGTTGTGCATTTCCTTCCTGACAGAAAGGGGTTGGACTGGATGGCCTTTGGGGGCATCTTCTGAATCTGGGATCCTATTATTATTATTATTATTATTATTATTATTATTATTATTATTAAGCAGAGACTGGATGGCCATCTGTTAGGGGTGCTTTGATGTTTTTCCGTCCTGGCAGAAAGGGGTTGGATTGGACGGCCTTTGGGGACCCCTTTTAAATCTAGGATCCTATTATTACTATTACTATTACTATTATATTATTATTATTAAGCAGAGGCTAGATGGCCATCTGTTGGGGGGACTTTGGTTGTGCCTTTCCATCCTGACAGAAAGGGGTTGGACTGGATGGCCTTTGGGGACCCCTTTTAAATCTAGGATCCTATTATTATTATTATTATTATTATTATTATTATTAAGCAGAGGCTAGATGGCCATCTGTTGGGGGGACTTTGGTTGTGCTTTTCCATCCTGGCAGAAAGGGGTTGGAGTGGATGGCCTTTGGGCGCCTCTTCTGAATCTAGGATCTAATTATTATGATTATGATTATGATTATGATTATTATTAAGCAGAGGCTGCATGGCCATCTGTCAAGGCCATTTGGTTGTGCTTTTCCTTCCTGACAGAAAGGGGTTGGACTGGATGGCCTTTGGGGGCCTCTTCTGAATCTAGGATCCTATTATTACTATTATTATTACTGACACAAATTATTATTATTGCTATTATTATTACTATTATTATTATTAAGCAGAGGCTGGATGGCCATCTGTTAGGAATGCTTTGATGGTGCTTTTCTGTCCTGGCAGAAAGGGGTTGGACTGGATGGCCTTTGGAGACCCCTTTTAAATCTAAGATCCTATTATTATTATTATTATTATTATTATTAAGCAGAGGCTGGATGGCCATCTGTTAGGGATGCTTTGATGCTGCTCCTCCGTCCTGGCAGAAAGGGGCTGGACCGGATGCCCTCTGGGGGCTCCTTCCGGCTCTAGGAATCTATGCCCCTGTTTTGGAAGAGGGGCTCCGCCCTTTAACATTTCACCCCAAAACAGGGTGTGGATCCATCTCCAAATGGCCCCTGGCGCCCCCATCCGCTTCCTGATGCTGCCGCAAAGGCCTCCAAGCCCGCTTCCCGCTTACTTTCTCAGCGAGGGCAGCTTCGTGGTCAATTCTGTCCAGGATCTCCTTCCTCTGGGCAATGTCCTTCACCAGGTGGGCGGCCATGGCGGTGGCCGTCTGCAGTTTCTTCTGAAAGACAACAACAGGGACCACATGATGGCAAATGCTCACCAAAATGGGGTCCGCAAGGAATAGGTTTCTAATTGGTTTTGAAGGCGTGGACTACCATGGCCAGATCTGGCATCTCAAGGTATGGGCGCAAGTTTGAGTTGTGCAAATGTGCTCCTGGTCACCACCCACACCTGGGCATCCACGGTCAACAACGAGTCCAGGATCACCCCCAGACTGCGGACCTGTGTCGATAGTGTAAGACTGTAGGATCTATCTAGCAATATTAAATGACCACTCACAAGCCGGTTTTGCTTTGAAATGGATATATTGCTTGCATCTCCGCAGCAAAGAAAGACACTACGGACTTTTTCCCACCACTACTTCCTTTTATACACCTTTCCTGCCCATCTCCCCCTCTTATTAGAACTTGTTGCTTCACAAGTTCCAATACAAGGTTTCCAGTGCCCTCTCACAGAGAGAGAATTGAAGCAGCCAGGATGATTCAGTCAGGATGTCACGGAGGGAATTTGTGATGTCTTCATGCCGTCAGAAATTGACTCCTGACAGATAGGGGGGATGCGGCCCCATCCAGCACAAGCTGCAATCCCATACCCTAATCCACTTTACGACTGTCCAGGAGGACCTCTGTCTTGTCCGGATTTAGCTTGTTTCAGCTTGTTGGCCCTCATCCAGTCCATCACTGATGACAGCCACTTCAGGATCAGAATGGCATCTTTGGCTTTTGGTAGTAAGGAGTAGTAGAGCTGGGTGTCATTCTCCTAAATTAGACACCAAACTCCCAAACTCCAGATGATCTCTCCCAGTGGTTTCAGGTAAACAGCATGGGGGAGAGAATTGAGCCCTGAGGGACCCCACAGGTCACCAGCCAGGGAGTCAAACAGATCCACCATCTGGGTCCGACCCTCCAGAAAGGACCAGAGTCAGAGCAAAGCAGTGCCTCCAAGCCCCATCCCAGAGACATGGCCCAGAAGAAGGCCATGGTCAATGGTATCAAAAGTCACTGAGAGGTCCAGGAGAACGAGAAAGGACACACTCCTCCTCTCTAGCTCTCTTTGGAGATCATTCGCCATGGTGACTAATGCCGTTTCAGTTTCGCAACCTGGCATTGTGCCTGGTTTTGTTGTGAGCCCTTTTGAATCTCTTTTTTAAAGAAAGGAAAAGCAGGTTATAAATAATGATGGTGATGATGATGATGATAAGTATTTGGTTAGACCACTGCTTTGGTTAGACCACACCTGGAATATTGTATCTAATTCTGGGCACCACAATTCAAGAGAGATATTGACAAGCTGGAATGTGTCCAGAGGAGAGCGACTAAAATGATAAAAGGTCTGGAGAACAAGCCCTATGAGGAGCGGCTTAAGGAGCTGGGCATGTTTAGCCTGAAGAAGAGAAGGCTGAGAGGAAATATGATAGCCATGCATAGGAAAGGACACGTTGACAAGCTGGAATGTGTCCAGAGAAAGAGGGCGACTCAAAAAATCAAGGGTCTGGAGAACAAGCCCTATGAGGAGCGGCTTAAGGAGTTGGGCATGTTTAGACTGAAGAAGAGAAGGCTGAGAGGAGGTATGATAGCCATGTATAAATATGTGAGAGGAAGCCACAGGGAGGAGGGAGCAAGCTTGTTTACTGCTTCCATGGAGATTAGGACAAGGAACAATGGCTTCAAACTACAAGAAAGGAGATTCCATCTGAACATGAGGAAGAACTTCCTGACTGTGAGAGCCGTTCAGCAGTGGAACTCTCTGCCCCGGAGTGTGGTGGAGGCTCCTTCTTTGGAAGCTTTGAAACAGAGGCTGGATGGCCATCTGTCAGGGGTGATTTGAATGCAGTATTCCTGCTTCTTGGCAGAATGGGGTTGGACTGGATGGTGGCCCAGGAGGTCTCTTCCAACTCTTTGATTCTATGATTATAAGTATATAAATAAAAATGTAATGATCGGTTGTGGGATTAACATAACTCAAAAACTACTGGACGAACAGACACCAAATTTGGACACAGGACAACTCTCAGGCCAACAAGTGACCATCACTCATAAAAACACTGAGAAACACAGCAGAAGAGACTTAAAAAAGCCAAAAAAGCAAAAAGATGCTACCGCACATGCGCAAAACCAACTCCCCCGGCAAACAAAACACACAAAAGCATACCCACACCCAGCATCCCCTAGACCAGCGGTTCTCAACCTGGGGGTCGCAACCCCCGGAGGGGTCGTTCGGCAAATCTAGAGGGGTCGTGGCATGGTCTCGTTAGGCCACATCTCCTCCTGCAGGCCCCGTGCGCCCTCAACAGTGCGCCAAACAGATACCAAGGCCTTCGCAGAAGCTACTGGACGGGTGTGTGTAAGAGAGAGAGGAAGGGAAGGAAAGAGAGTAAGGAGACTGGAAGTGTGAGTCTAAGAAAGAGAGGCAGAGAAGGAAAGGAAAGAGAGGAGAGAAAGAGCCTGGCTGCATGCCTCCTTGGACCTGGAGGGCTTTCCTCTTGGCTAGTGGGCAGGCTCTGGCAGGGCCGGCACTTCTCCATTAGCAGGCTGTGCCTCCGCCCCTCAGTCCTCTCTCTCTCTGGCCCTCCATGCTTGTCTCTTTCTCCTGCATGGGTGGCGAGGCCTCCTGGCTCCATACAGCTGCCTTCCCTTCCTGGCATGGAGAGCCCAAGAAGAGCGAGTGGGGGAAGATGCCCTGGGAGCATGCATTCAGGGGCTGTCCTCCTTCCCTGCATGAGGCCTCTTCCCCTGTTGTGGCTGAGCTATTTTCTGACGATGAGGATGATGGGATTCAGATTCCTGCTGGGATTCAGCTTCCTGGCTCTTTGTCTGTGCCTCAAATCTCTGAGCCTGCTTCTGAGGCTCCCACAGACAGTGCAGTGTCAACACAGCCATTTCCACCAGAAAGGAATTTTAACGAAGGAGATAGCGAGCAGGTGCCGTCCCACGCTGATACCAAAAGTGTAGATAGTGACTTGACCCGTGAAGCTCGCCTTGATCTCCGGGTCAGGAGGAGTTCTTGTCTGGCAAGCAGACGAGAAGCCAGCTCGGTGAAAGGTCGTCGCAATGCTTTTATGATGATGAGAGCCTAATGTTTTCATGTTAGAAAGGTATTTAGGCCTCTTGGAAACTCTGTGGAAGCGTCAGTTCAACAAAGCTTACTAGCCTGAAAGCTTCATGGAATAGCCTTAGCCTGGAAAGCGGTACGCTTGGGATTTCTTGCATTGTGATTCACGGGGCCATTGTTTCATTGCTTGTACTTGGACTCTGGTTTGAACTTTGCCAATAGGATTATGTCTCCTGTTTTTACCTGAACATCTTTGGAACTATATTGTTCTGTCGCCACTGGGTCCGAACAAAATGTCTTTATTCTATAGAACGCACACTTTAAACTCAGTGGGAAGCCGGGGTGCCCGAAGAGAGATTGTTAGAGACTTCCAGAAGTAATGGGCTTTAGAGTTCTTTCAAGGTACAAAAAAGTCTTTATTAAGGAACAAATCTTCAAACAACGCTTCAAATCTTTCTTATACTAGTCTTTAAGAGACTGGCACCGACTTGGTTTAACTATACTATCTCTACATGAAGAAGAACCCTTTGTAATCTCTCCCAGGCTGTCCATCACCTAGGCCTCACTGGTCTGGGTAAAACTGCCAATCCCCAAATGTGTCTGGAAACCGAGTAACCTACCAGACGAAGCTAGAAGATGTTTTACTGGAATTCTGTGGTTCTGCAGTGCTGTCCTGTGGAAACTTCAGGTCTGTTTTCCCCTCTGGTGCTGTGAGGCTGAGAGGCTGTGAGCTCTCAGCCAGAGCCTTTGGAACCTTTTCCTTCTGTTTCCCTGGAACTGGATGGTCACTGGATGACCCCGGATCACCTTTGGATGATCCCCGGATGGCTGTTTCTATTTCCCCGGAAGATTTTGAGGAATGAAGCCTTTCCTACGGGACTAGCTGATCTGCGTCCTATAGACTTCCTTGTGTGACTGACTGAAAAATGGCCCCTTCCCTCCAAAAAAACCCAGAGAGGGACGGGACCAGGGATCCTAACTATTATTGACAGGTGGCTTGCCCTATGAATGCAGCCAAAGGAAGCCACCTATCTGCAAAGTCCCTGCAACTTAGGACTATGAACAAACACTCAGTGCAAAACACAAATTTGGAGCCCCTGGAACACTCGTTCCAGAACAATATTCTGCTTTTAACCTTAATCCTTGGAATTTTGCAATGCTTATTCTTTATTTTGACTTGGATTTTCTCCTCAATAAACTATAAAACTACAGCTCTTGTGTTGTTTGGCAGCAAAGTGAAGCTTACTCTGAGTTGTAACATCCCCCATGCGCTTTCCAGCACCGGAGTGCGTCCCTCTCCCGGCGTAGCCAAGCACCCTGAATACGTGCTCCCAGGACCTCTTCCCTGTGCACTTGGCAAGAAGAGAGGGAAGGAAGGAAGGAAGGAAGGAGAGAAAGAAAGAAGAGAAAGAGGGAGGAAAGGTTGGCCATAGCAACACGTGGTGGGTACAGCTAGTAATAAATACAATGACTGTGGGCAGAGGTGGGTCCTCTAGTAAAGCGCATCGCTGACCTACCAGGTGAAAGCAGAGAAAGGCTTTCCTGCATTCAGCAGACCTTGAGGAGCAGAAAGAGATCCCCCCCAAAGCTGGGTATCTGCAATCTAAGGGGGAGTGCAAACCTCCTTCTAGGCAGAGCGGTTCCTTTCCCTCAATGCCACCCATTTCCCACATCTTCCACATTCCGTGACAGTCGCCGTCCCTCCAGATGGTGAGCCAGGTGTGTGGGAAGGTCCCTTTGCTGTGCGGTTCTGCACAGATGGCAGTGTTCACTTCCTACGACATCCTTCCTGCCAGCTGCTCTGATCCCATCGCTCTTGACTTGCATCCACTGTCATTTCCTCTGTAAACAGTCCTTCAGGGCACAGGCATTCATCCCTTCATTCCCAGTATTTCTGCACCATCTTTAGACACAAAGCCTCCCCAAGATGTGATGTGTGGATTGAATGAAACTGTATGGCTAGGGTCTGGCAAAGACTGAAGGCAGCATTCTGAGTACGAAGCCTGGAAGACTGCAAAAGGGGGCTGTGCAGGTCCTGAACTGGTGCTTGGCTGCTGTGACGGTCTGGATGAGGGCGAAATTGAAACTAAATCCAGACAAGACAGAGGTCCTCCTGCTAATTCGTAAGGCCAAACAGGGCATAGGGTTACAGCTTGTGCTGGACAGGGTTCCACTCTCCTTGAAGGCGCAGGTTCACAGCTTGGGGATGATCCCAGATTCATTGCTGAGCCTGGAACCCCAGGTCTCGACGGTGGCTGGGAGAGCTTTTGCACAATTAAAGCTTGTGTGCCAATTGCGCCCGTTCCTTGAGAAGTCTGACTTGGCCACGGTGGTCCATGCTCTTGTTACATCCCAAATAGACTACTGCAACGCATTCTACATGGGGCTGCCTTTGAAGACTGCCCTCCATGCCTCTTCAAATTCTGCAGCACTGCTGGTCACAGCTGACCTCCAGCTGGAGCGCTCAAGGGCCAGGGCTTCCCAGTTCTCAGTGTCTATGCCAGAGTTTTTAAGGAAGGCTTTAAGCCCATCTTTCACTCTCTTTTCCTGCCCAACAACATTCCGTTTTCTGTTCTTGAATTTGGAGTAGAGCAACTGCTTTGGGAGACGGTGGTCAGGCATCCGGACAACGTGGCCGGTCCAGTGGAGTTGATGGCAGAGGACCATCGCTTCAGTGCTGGTGGTCTTTGCTTCTTCTTCCAGCATGCTGACGTTTCCCCACCTGTCTTCCCAAGAGATTTGCAGGATTTTCCGGAGGCAGCGCTGATGGAATCGTTCCAGGAGTTGTATGTGACATCTGTAGACAGTCCACGTTTCGCAGGTGTATAGCAGGGTTGGGAGGACAATGGCTTCATAAACCACCAACTTGGTATCCCTATGGATGTCCCGGTCCTCAAACACTCTCTGCTTCATTCGGAAAAATGCTGCACTTGCAGAACTCAGCCGGTGTTGTATTTCAGTGTAAAATGTTGACATCTGTAGACAGTTCACGTCTCGCAGGCATATAGCAGGGTTGGGAGGACAATAGCTTTATAGACAAGCACCTTGGTCTCCCTATGGATGTCCCAGTTCTCAAACGCTCTCTGCTTCATTTGGAAAAATGCTGCACTCGCAGAGCTCAGGTGGTGTTGTATTTTGGTGTCGATGTTGAGTGGTGGCTGCCAAGGGAGCGGAAATGGCCAACATTTTCTAATGTTACACCATTAAGCTGTATTTTGGATGACCAGGCTAATAGTGAAGGTAGTGGTTTTATATGTTTTTAAAGGTTTCAATGTATGTATTATATAATTCTGCTTTAAGTGTTTATTGTAATATTTACATTGTTTTAATGGCATTGAATAGCTGCCTATGTTGTAAAGCTGCCTTGAGTCACCTTTGGGTTAGAGAAAGGCGGGGTAGAAATATCGTCAATAAATAAATAACAAAACAAAACTACTATTCCTGAGACGACTGGTATCCCAGGGCTGGAAAGAGGCCCACAGGGCACTAAATGCAACCTCTCCAGGGAAAGCGGTGGGGAACCCAGGCCAGAGATGGGGAGGTGGGCTGTGCGCTTACCCTGTGGAAGTTCAGGACCTGCAAGGTGTTGGCCACCATCATCTTCAGCTGCAGCAGTTCCTGGTTCCGCTCGTCGATCTTCTCCAGGAACTGGGCGTTCTCGATCTTCAGCTGCTGGAAATCCACCTCGTGAAGGGCCTCCCCCAGCTCCTCTTTCTGCAGGTGGACCAAGAACAGCAAGCTCAGCAGGACAGAAGCCTGTCACCGGAGACGAGGGAGGTTTTATTTGTCCGTGGGCGCAGTGTGTGTGGGCTCTGGCATCCTCCATGTTGTGGACTACTCTTCTGCTTCTGAGGAGGAGGAGGTAGAACAGGAGGAGGCTGAAGAGGTAGCACTTGGGGATTTGGGGACAAATGTTGAGGAGGAGGAAGAAGGCGAGGAAAACATACTACAAGTCCCTACGTTTCAAGAATAGCAAAGGGCAAAAGAAGAAAGAAGTTTAACTAGAATTACGGCACAAATGCTGAGCAATCAGACCTCGCCCTAGGAACATCTGTGCTGGGAGCTCAGGGCTATCCATTAGCAGTGAAGCCAGTAGTCAGTGCTGGTAGCAACCGACCTACTTGGTGTGTGTGTGTGTTCTGGTCTCCGTGCTACAGCTCCAGCACTGGCTAGGCTCCAGACTTCTTGCCAAGGACTCTTTTGTTTCCCTAGAGAACGACACCTCTGCACCATCTTGGCAACTCTGTGGAATGTGACCTTCACTAACTTCTGGAGACATAAACTGATTATTTTCAGGACTTAAAAAATCTCATGTTGACTCACAGGCCTAGCATTCCCATGATCCACCTTCACATTGACATTGGTATCAGCCACAATCATAGACTGAACTGGCTGAACGACAACTGTCTTTTACGTTTATTTCGAGAGAGAGATTCAGCAAAGGAGATGAAGAAATGTGCCAATATAGCTTTGTTGCTGTGAGATTAACAATTGCAAAATCTTGGAAGGGGAAAAGAAAGAGTAACTCATAAACAATGGAGAGAAAAACTATTATAAATGGCCGAGGTAACAAACAGTATTTGGGGAGGAAACAATGAAGAGTTTGCCCAAAATAACGAGGCTGGCATTTGGATATTTGGAAAGGAAGATGAATGTAGACTTAGGGGAATTGTGATGTGGCAACTCCTGGTGAAGGAAGCAGGGCGTGGCACCCATCATCATACACCTAGGAGCCAGTATGCCAGTTCCTTGCCTTGGGACAGACCCACTTTCTCCAGGAAAGGGCCGCCAAGGGGAAGTAGGTACCTGTTTCAGCTGCAGCTGCATCTTCTTCTTCTGGACTTTGAGGGCATCGTTTTTCAAGCGGATCTTCTCTTTCAAGACGTCCTGTAACAGCAAAAGCCGCCCGGTTTAATTCCCAGCATCGCTCCCGAGGTCTGGCTCTCAGGCCCCTTCTACACATCTGTATAAAATCCAGATTACCTGCTTGGAGCTGGATTAAATGGCTGTTATATGGATTATAACGGTGTTGTGCCTCTGCTTGTAGTCTGTCTGCGTGATCTTCTTACAGCAGCTGAGGATGTGATCTATTGTCGAAGGCTTTCATGGCTGGAATCACTGGGTTGTTGTAGGTTTTTTGGGGCTATATGGCCATGGTCTAGAGGCATTCTCTTCTGACGTTTTGCCTGCATCTATGGCAAGCATCCTCAGAGATAGTGAGGTCTGTTGGAATTAGGAAACGTCGGAAGAGAATGCCTCTAGACCATGGCCATATAGCCAAAAAAAACCTAAAACAACCAGATGTGATCTATTGTTTCATCTGCTTCCTTGCAGAGTCTACACTTGGTAATAATATTATCAATTATTATTATTAATAATAATAATATTCAACACTGTCAGGCAATCCAGTTCAAAGCAGAAAATGTGGATGATCTGCTTTGACATTCTGGATTTCATGACAGTATTGAATAATAGTATTATTTATTATTATTATCATTATTGATAATATTATTATCAAGTGTAGACTCTGCAAGGAAGCCAAAAACTAGAGCATAACTTGGGTGGGGTGTCAACTTCGAGAAAAAAAAACAACCATAATTTTGCAATATTTATAGTTTAAATAAGAAAAATGTATATTCCATGCTGAGTTATGGAGTGAACAATGCTCAAACGTGCAGATGTTAAATTTGTAGAGCCTTTTACAAATTTAAGGATGGAATTAGATTGGCTCTTATAAGGTGTACTTCCCTGTATGCAGCCGCATGTGGCCGCGTGTCATCAAAAATAGCCATGTGTGTCAGTGCTGACACGCATGTCATAGGTTCACCATCACGGCTCTAGACCATGGCCATATACCCCGAAAAAACCTACAACAACCCGATGTGATCTACTGTTTCCTCTGCTTCCTTGCAGAGTCTACCCTTGATAATAATATTATCAGTTTTAATAATAATAATAATAATAATAATAATAATAATAATAATAATCAACACTGTCAGGCAATCCAGTTCAAAGCAGGAAATGTGGATAACCTGCCTTGATATTCTGGATTATATGAGAGTGTTGAATAATAATAATATTAATTATTATTACTATTATTGATAATATTATTATCAAGTGGAGACTCTGTAAGGAAGCAGGAGAAACAATAGATCATATCCTCAGCTGCTGCAAGATTGTGCAGACAGACTACAAGCAGAGGCACAACACCGTGGCTCAGATGATTCGTTGGAACTTGTGCCACAAAGACCATCTGCCTGCCACAAAGAACTGGTGGGACTACAAGCCGGAAAAAGTTACAGAGAATGAACACGTCAAACTCCTTTGGGACTTCCAGATTCAGACAGACAAGAGTTTTGGAGCACAAGACTCCTGACCTCATGGTCGTGTTAAAAAACAAAGTATGTATTGTCGATGTCGCAATCCCAGGTGTCAGCAGGATTGAAGAGAAACAACTGGAAAAGCTGACACGATATGAGGATTTAAAGATTGAACTGCAAAGATTCTGGCACAAGCCAATCAAAGGGGTCCCAGTGGTGATTGCAACACTGGGTGCAGTGCCTCAAGACCTTGGCCTGCACTTAAAAACAATCAGCGCTGACAAAATTACCATCTTGGCTGTTCCAATGTGCCTTCAATGATTGATTACATGACAATCTCTGATCAAACTTTGCATGAAATGTCCCCAGAAGCACTTTATTTTCTTGTTGTGCAATTAAATCCTACCTCATCCCCCGAAGCCCTTCCCTGATATTTTACATTGCCCTATTTCCCAGTGTTTTAAAATTTTAATCCTTGAATTTGGCCCTGCCCATGGCAATCATTTTAATGTCATAATGTTTTTGATTTTATATTGTTGTGGTCGCTTATATACATCGGTTTTGTATTTTATTTTATTTTATTTTATTTTCTGTTGTGTTTTTGTGTTATGTTGTGTATATTGTATTGATGGGCTTGGCCTCATGTAGGCTGCCCTGAGTCCCCTTGGGGAGATGGTGGCAGGGTATCTGTCCGAACGTATCTCCTTTCTTCAGGGTATCTGTCCGAACGTATCTCCCTCTACGTCCCACCCCAGAATTTGAGATCATCTGGGAAGGCCCTGCTCTCGACCCCACCACTATCACAAGTGAGATTGGTGGGGACGAGGAGCAGGGCCTTCTCAGTGGTGGCCCCCCACCTGTGGAACTCACTCCCGGGGGAAATCAGGACATCAACATCCCTCCTTGCCTTTAGGAGAAAGGTAAAGACGTGGCTATGGGACCAGGCCTTTGGGCATCCTGACAATTAGATATGGAATCCAGATGGATAGGACTGACAATGTGCGGAAAGTAGAACCTAACTATGAGTCTGTTAAACGCTGTCCAGCAATGAGGTTTGTATTGCTTTTACTGTTTTAATTGTTTTAATTGCTTTTACTTTATGGGTTTTTTGGATGTGTCGCTGATAATAATGACTGCTTAGGTTAACTGTTATCATTGTTATAATTGCTATTGTTATTGATGTTATGTTTTGTTGTCATGTAATGCGGGCATCGAATTGTGCCTTGTTGTGTAAGCCGCTCCTCGGGGTGAGAAGGGCGGGGTATAAGCGACTGTAATAAATAAATAAATAAATAAATAAAGTATTATTTATTTATTTATTTATTTTATACACTTGTATACCGCTAATATCTCAGCCTAAATCGGCGACTCATTGCGGTTTACAACAATTAAAAACAGTCATCAATTCAAAACATACAACAACATATACAATACAAATTATTGGGCCACCAATAATAATTCCATGCATCTCGAACTAAAATCACAATCCAAAATTCGTCGTCCATGATTACCTGTCCTTTAGTCAACACAATTCGATTGCAACGGATTAACCGAATGCTTGCTGAAACAACCATGTTTTCAATCTCTTCCGAAACACCATCAGCGAGGGGGCTGATCGTACCTCTATAGGGAGGGTGTTCCAAAGCCGGGGGGCCACCACAGAGAAGGCCCTGTCTCTCGTTCCCGCCAGCCGCACTTCTGAAGCCGGAGGGACAGAGAGCAGGGACTCTCCAGAAGATCTTAGGGTCCTGGTGGGCTGATAGGCTGAGATACGAAGAATTATTATTATTATTATTATTATTATTATTATTATTATTATCTGCCAGCTGTAAAATGCCACCTTACTGGGATATGCACTCATCATTTGCCGATACAACACAAGGTCCTAGACACTTGGGAAGTGTCCAACATGAGATCGAATACAAAAGCCAGCAGAGTGACCTTGTTTGCTATGGATTCATCTTGTTGTGTTTCAAATAGTAATAATAATACTTTATTGATAGACTGTTCTCTCTCCCCAAGGGGACTCGGGGCAGTTGACACACCAAAAAGGCAAACATTCAATGCCTAAACTCAAATAACACAAAATAATAACCATAAACTTGTGACAAAAGAGAAATAAACACCAAAATGGGGACCAAATAGGAATAATCAAATGAACCTAATTAGACTAATAACAAAAATCAACTATGTAAACATAAAACTTAGAAAAGACAAAATACATTTTAACTATTACATCTGGCCCGGCCATAGGTTTTTGGATCTTTGCGTGTTATTGTCTATATGTGAGTTATATTAATTGTATTGTTTTGTTTATTGCTTTGTTGTTTTTACTGATGTGTTGTTGGGCTTGGCCTCATGTAAGCTACTCCGAGTCCCCTTGGGGAGATGGTGGCCAGGTATAAATAAAGGTGTTTTTTTTAAAAAAATTATTATTATTATTATTATTGACCATCAAGCCCTGAGATTAGCAGACTGGTTTCAGCAGCGAAGGATCTCGGCTCACCCGGGAGTGTATCCTGTCTTCCATGTACCGCAGGACCTTGCTGGAGGCGATGATGCTCCCTTTCTTCTTGGTGATGGTCCTGATGACCTCTCGGTCAAAGTCCAGCGTGGCCTTCTTCACGTCCTTCCGGCGGATGTCCGCTTCCTCTAGGACCGCCTACAAGAGGGGGAAACCACACCGGAAGTGGAGGCGTGCGGCACTGCGTTTGTTCTCTGTGGAACATCCACAACCCAGAGACAAAACAAAAATACCGGATTTCATCACATAATAGTCGCAGAGCTGTTTAGGGGTGATTCCTTCTTCTTCCCTCCCTCCCTTCTTTCTCCAAAGGCAAGGCAGTTTAAAAACTATAAAATGGAGAAGGAAGTAGGAGGAGAAGAAGAAGGAGAGAAGAAAAAGGAGGAGGAGGAGGAGAGAAGAGAAGAAAAAGGAGGAGAAAAAGAAAAGGGAGAAGGAGAAGAAGAATTAGAAGAGAAGAGAAGGAAGCAGGGGAGAAGGAGAAGGAGAGGAGAAAAAGGAGGAGAAAAAGAAAAGGGAGAAGAAGAATTAGAATTAGAGGAGAAGAAAAAGAAGTAAGAGGAGAAGGAGAAGAAAAAGGAGAAAAAGGAAAGGGAGAAGAAGAATTAGAATTAGAGGAGAAGAAAAAGAAGTAAGAGGAGAAGGAGAAGAAAAAGGAGGAGAAAAAGGAAAGGGAGAAGGAGAATTAGAAGAGAAGAAAAAGAAGTAGGAGGAGAAGAAGGAGAGAAGAAGATGGAGAAGAAAAAGAAAAGGGAGAAGGAGGAAGTAGAATTTGAAGAGAAGAAAAAGAAGTAAGAGGAGAATAAGGAGAAGAGAAGAAAAAAGAGAAAAAGAAAAGGGAGGTGGAGAGGAAGAATGAGAAGAGAAGAAGTAGGAGGAGAAGGAGAGAAGAAGAAGGAGAAGAAGAAAAGGGAGAAGGAGAAGAAAAAATAGAAGAGAAGAAAAAGAAGTAGGAGAAGAAGACGACGAAGACAAGAAAAAGGAGAAGAAAAAGAAAAGGGAGGAGAAGAATGAGAAGAGAAGAAGAAGAAATAGGGGAAGAAGGAGGAGGAGAAAAAGAAAAGGGAGAAGGAGAAGAAGAGTAAGAAGAGAAGAAAAAGAAGTAGGAGGAGAAGGAAAGAAGAAAAAGGAGAGGATAAAGAAAAGGGAGAAGAAAAAGAAAAGGGAGAAGGAGAAGAAGAATGAGAAGAGAAGAAGTAGTAGGAGAAGATGAAGGAAAGAAGAAAAAGGAGAGGAAAAAGAAAAGGGAGAAGAATTAGAATTAGAGAAGAAAAAGAAGTAGGAGAAGGAGAAGGAGACAGTTCTGTTTGAGGCAGCCCTGTCCACAACCATAGAGCATTTTGAAGGCTCCTTGCAAAGAACTGTGTCTTGACAAGGTCAGGACTAAATTCCAGGCACATCTATGGGGAAGACAATAGTGGTCATTTTGCCCCACTCTTTGCTAACACTTCTTTCTTCTGTAACATGGAGGGTGGGGAGGCCCCTTGATTGACAGCCTGGACAAAATGAACTTCCCTCGCCGCAGGAATCCAACCTTACTCGAAGCAATGCGGAGTGGGCACGAAATGTGGCCCCTCCAGGCTGTCCTTGCTGGGCTTGCCCTGGGAGACATAGTTCAGGGCAGGACCGGTTCCGATCTACATGGGCAGCCCTACCAGGTAGTTCTGCATGGCCTTCTCGGAGGTCTCCTTCATGCGCTGGATGTCCTCCTTGGTCTCCTCCAACTCCCGCTGGGCCAGGTCGCACTTCTGCTCCACCGTCAGGCAGATGAGGCGCTCCGAGGCGATGCGCGAGCGGGATTTGCGCCTGCCCCTTCCCTGGGGGCACAAAGGGAAAACAGAGTCACACCACAGTCTAGGGAAGGAGCCAAGCATTGAGTGGGTTGCCTTTCCACCAACAGAGCCCAGGCAGACCCCAATTGACACAAGACCCTTCTACACCGCCATATAAAATCCAGATTATCTGCTTTGAACTGGATTATATGGCAGTGTAGAAGGGGACTCGTATATTCCAGTTCAGAGAAGATAATGTGGATTATCTGGATGATATGGCAGTGTAGAAGTAGCATCAAACTGCATTCGTTCTGGATGCATCCCATGAGTCAGGCCTGCAATCAAATGGAAGGCGGAGAGAACAGATAACAATTAGGGCTGTCCAAACACGGAAAAATTTGTTTCTAAACTCGATTCGTTTTTAGGGTTTTTTTGCTTTTTGTTATTTAAAAGAATCCCGAAATTTTCCTTTAAACAAGTTCGATATTTACGAAATTTCGGAAATCATAAAACAATTACGAAACAATTACGAATCGATTACAAATCGATTCGTTAATGGCGGCCGCGATCGCACAATACGCTAAAAAAACTTCTGAAGCTTCCCTCTCCCTCTGTTGTTGACTGTTGGTGTGATAATTATATATTTTTTCACTGAGAAAACAAACAGCAACCCTAAAACTTGCACCAGACATGCGGAAATAATAACGAAACATTTACGAATCAATAACGAATCAATAATGAGTCAATAACGAAACAATTACGAAACGAATTGGAAAAATTCGTTTCATTTTTTTAGTTGCTCCTGAATGGTTCAATATCGCTTCGTTATCAAAAAAAATAACGAATTTTTAACGAATTACGGAATTACGAAATGAAACCGCCCAGCCCTAATAACAATACATCACATGGTTTTTGTCCCTGGGTTATCAATGTCATTTCCTAATTGGTTCTATCATCAAAACATGGGGAAAGTTTATTAAATTGCAAAAACATTGTTTCTGTCAGAGGGACATCCTGCTATTGCACATTATGTTATTATATTTTATTATTATATTATTATTACAATTATAATACATTATAATATGTCACATAATTTTTGTTCCTATGTTATCAATATCATCTCCTAATAGGTTCCATTATATTTTATATTACATGTAATATTACTAATAATCTATATAAATCAAAATGTAATGTTTGTTTGTGGGATTAACATAACTCAAAAACCACTGGATGAATTGACACCAAATTTGGACACAAGACACCTCTCAGGCCAACGAGTGACCATCACTCATAAAAACACTGGAAAACACAACGGAAGGGACTTAAAAGGCCAAAAAACCAAAAAGATGCTACCACGGATGCGCAAAAACAACTCTCCCAGTAAACAAAACACACAAAAGCACATCCACACCCAGAATCCCCTAGACCAGCGGTTCTCAACCTGGGGTTCTCAACAAGGAGGGGTTGTTCGGCAATACATTACAACGCACACGCAACACCACATATATATACACAAACACACACATATTCACACATATATGTATATGCACACACAAAACATACACAGGAAGGAAGGAAGGAAGGAGAGAAGGAAGGAAGGAAAGAAAAAAGGGTAGAGAAGGAAGGAAGGAGGGAGAGAAGGGAAAGAAAGAGGGAAGGAGAGAAAGAAGGGGAAAAAAGAAAGGTAGAGAACGAAGGAAGGAGAGAAGGAGGGAAAGAGGGAGGGAAGGAGATAAAGAAGGAAAGAAAGAAGTGTAGAGAAGGAAGGAAGGAGAGAAGGAGGGAGAGAATGAAATAAAAAGTGAAAGAGGGAAGGAAGGGGAGAAGGAGGGAGAGAAAGAGGGAAGGAAGGAAGGAAGGAAGGAAAGAAAGAAGGGTAGAGAAGGAAGGAGGAAGGAGGGAAAGAATGAAATAAAAAAGTGAAAGAGGGTAGGAAGGGGAGAAGGAAGGAAAGAAATAAGGGTAGAGAAGGAAAGGAGAGGAGGGAGAGAATAAAATAAAAAGTGAAAAAGGGAAGGAAGGAGAGAAGGAACAAAAGAGAGAAAGAGGGAGGGAAGGAAAGAGACAAGGAAGGAGGAACCAAAGAGCAAAGGACGCGAGAAAAGATACAGGTAGAGAAGGAAGAAAGAAGGAAAAGAATAAGAGAGAAGGAAGGAAAGAGGGAGGGAAGGAAGGAGAGAAAGAAAGGAGAGAAAGAGGGAGGGAAGGTTGGCCACAGCAACGAGAGGCGGGTACAGCTAGTTTTACAATATAATGGTATAGTACAATATATTAATATATAATATTGATATTGTACTATGCTAATAATATAATATACTAGCTGTGCCCTGCCACGCGTTGCTGTGGCCTATAGTAAAACTTATCAAAGTTGAGGTAGATATCTGGAGTATTATGAAAGAGAGGTACCTACCTATTCCTTCCCCCTTTTCCTCCCCCTTTCTCTCCTTTCTTCCTTCTCTACCTCTTTCTTTCTTTCTTTCTTTCACTACTTGGTTTCATCCTTCTTTCCTTCATTCCCTCCCCCTTTCTTCCTTTGCCTTTCTTCCCTCCCTGTTTGCTTCCTTCTTTCTCTTTTTATTTCCTTTTATTTCACCACCATCATAACAATAACAATAATGCAATGCATTGCCTCTGGGACCTGACACCTCTCCCATTCCCCCTAAAAGGGTCTCAGAGGAACAATAGCATAATAATAATAATAATAATAGAAATAACAACCTTTACCCGCCAATCTTCCCTCTTTCTCTCCTTCTTTCCCTCCTTCCTTCCCTCCCATCTTTCCTTCTCCTCTTCTTTCTCTACCTTGCGTGTGTGCGTGCGATGGCGGGGGGAGTGATGGAGCGTGGGGTTGCGTGTGTGTGTGCGGCGGCGGGGGGGGTGGGGTTGCGTGTGTGCGTGCGGCAGCGGGGGAGTGTGGGGTTGTGTGTGTGTGTGTGTGCGGTGGCGGGGGGAGTGGGGTTGCGTGTGTGTGTGCAGCGGCGGGGGGAGTGATGGAGTGTGGGGTTGTGTGTGTGTGTGCGGCAGGGGGGTGTGTGTGCGGGAAGCGGCGCGGTGGGGCTTGGAGTGGGCATGGTTTCCGCAGAGGGAACGTTAGCCGGAAGGCCATGTGTGCGCGCCAGGGAACTTGCGGCTGGGTGCCAATGCGCATGCTCAGTTGTTTTGCCGTTTTGTAAGTGTGTTGTTGTGTTGTTTTTCATTTTGAGTAGATATGTTTGTACCTTGTGGGTTGTGTTATGGGCATGGGAATTTTGGTTAAGTTTCGTTGGGGTTTTTTTGAGTTTTGTTTTTTTGCCGTTTTGAGTGTGTTGTTGTGTTGTTTTTCATTTTGAGTAGATATGTTTGTACCTTGTGGGTTGTGTTATGAGCATGGGAATTTTTGTTAAGTTTCGTTGGGGTTTTTTGGAGTTTTGTTGTTTTGCCGTTTTGTGAGTGTGTTGTTGTGTTGTTTTTCATTTTGAGTAGATATGTTTGTACCTTGTGGGTTGTGTTATGGGCATGGGAATTTTGGTTAAGTTTCGTTGGGGGATTTTTGAGTTTTGTTGTTTTGCCGTTTTGTGAGTGTGTTGTTGTGTTGTTTTTCATTTTGAGTAGATATGTTTGTACCTTGTGGGTTGTGTTATGGGCATGGGAATTTTGGTTGAGTTTCGTTGGGGGTTTTTGAGTTTTGTTGTTTTGCCGTTTTGTGAGTGTGTTGTTGTGTTGTTTTTCATTTTGAGTAGATATGTTTGTACCTTGTGGGTTGTGTTATGGGCATGGGAATTTTGGTTAAGTTTCGTTGGGGGATTTTTGAGTTTTGTTGTTTTGCCGTTTTGTGAGTGTGTTGTTGTGTTGTTTTTCATTTTGAGTAGATATGTTTGTACCTTGTGGGTTGTGTTATGGGCATGGGAATTTTGGTTAAGTTTCGTTGGGGGATTTTTGAGTTTTGTTGTTTTGCCGTTTTGTGAGTGTGTTGTTGTGTTGTTTTTCATTTTGAGTAGATATGTTTGTACCTTGTGGGTTGTGTTATGGGCATGGGAATTTTGGTTAAGTTTTGTTGGGGGATTTTTGAGTTTTGTTGTTTTGCCGTTTTGTGAGTGTGTTGTTGTGTTGTTTTTCATTTTGAGTAGATATGTTTGTACCTTGTGGGTTGTGTTATGGGCATGGGAATTTTGGTTAAGTTTCGTTGGGGGGGTTTTGAGTTTTGTTTCTCCGTTGGATGCCCCTAACAAATTTATATATATAGATTCTATGTATATATATATCTTGTAAGCCGCTGAGCCCCCTTCGGTGTTAGAAAAGCAGCATAGAAATGTTGTAAACAAAATAAATAAATACATAAATATTATAAAATGGGATTTTTTTTAATTAAACTTCAAAATCTTTGTCTTTGAGGAGGGACATCATTCTTCTATAGCACATTTTGCTTGAGTTTTTCAATGAATCTCTCATCATCAAGTCTCAACCCATTCAACCTTGTTTGTGGCAGTTTCTGGAGTAGAACAACTACTTTCGAAGTAAAGACCGCAAAACTAAAACAGGAAATAACACTTTCAAACCGGGAACAGAAAGATTTTCAAATTTTGTTACTTAGCGAATCATCCAATCCGGGCCCATAAGCACACCAACCAAACCTTTAAACCAACCCTGCCACTTACATACAGTGCTGGTCCCATGTCCACCGAAGAGCTGCGCTTCTCTGGGACCTTTTCCCGCGGCTCCATCCGACTGAAGAATTTCTCAAACATGTCCGTCTCGAGCTTCAGCATGGCATTGTCGTGGCTGGGTGAAGAGGAAAGGGTCAAGGCAACCAAGTCAGTCACGCAGCTCGAAGAAAACAGGAGTCATCTGGGGCCCCTGAACTAGAAGGAAACCCTGGGGAAAGGAATGTTCCTGCCGTTAGAGAGACTGATAGCGAGAGTGAAATCCCACACGGCCAGGTGGAGGATCCGTCCCAGCTGAACCCAATTAAGGGGTTGCATAGCCTTGCAGATAATGAATTAATGAGCAGACCAGATCGTTTGCAATTAAGGTTTCGGAGAAGCACTCGCTTGGCCAGCAAGCGAGAAGCTAAAGGTGCCAAAGGTCAACGCAATGCTTTCATGCTCACAAAGAGTATTTAGTCTTGTAGCTGACAGGCAGTTTTTGTCAGTCCAACATTGCTCTTCCCATGTTAACTTCTGGGGATTTTCCTTGGCTTTTAGCAGCATGCTTCTGGTTTCCTGAGTCTGGGATCTGGGCCTTGTTTTCAACTGTTTACCATGGACTTTTGTTTGACCATTGCTAAAGGATTATGCTTCATGTTTTTGCCTTTGGATCTTGGGAACATTGCCTTTGCATTTAAGTCTCTGTTTTGCCTATGGAACTATTGCATTTCTTTGTTTTGTTTTTGCTTTTTTCAGCTATATATACATACAATATATTATATTATTAGCATTTTATCTATTTATAACATTTATATTCTGCCCTTCTCACCCCGAAGGGGTCTCAGAGCGGCTCACAAGCTATATATACATACAATATATTATATTATTAGCATATTTATCTATTTAAAACATTTATATTCCGCCTTTCTCATCCCGAAGTACAATATAATGATTGTACTATACAATTATATTGTATTATTATTAGTAATATTACATGTAATATAAATATATAATTATATTATATTATTAGTATTATAGGAGCCCCCATGCAGTCATGCCAGTGGCCACATGACCTTGGAGGTGTCTATGGACAACGCCAGCTCTTCGGCTTAGAAATGGAGGACTGGAGTTAAATGTCAGTATTATATTGCATTACATTGTAATATTATAAATATATGTTTATGGTATATGTTTTGGTGATGTTACTTGGAAACCGGCCTGAGTCTCCCTCAGGGAGATAGAGTTGTATACAAATAAAGTTTATTATTTTTATTATTATTGTATTGTCGAAGGCTTTCATGGCCAGAATCACTAGGTTGCTGTAAGCTTTTTCAGGCTATATGGCCATGTTTTAGAGGCATTTTCTCCTGACGTTTCACCTGCATCTATGGCACAGGTAGGGAGGTCTGTTGGAATTAGGAAAAAGGGTTTATATATCTGTGGAATGACTAGGGTGGGACAAAGGACTCTTGTCTGTTGGAGCTAGGTGTGAATGTTTCAACTGACCACCGTGATGGCCTGGCAGTGCCTGGGGCAATCTTTTGTTGAGAGGTGGTTAGATGTCCCAGAATGTTTTCTCTCTGTTGTTGTGCTATTGTAATTTTAGAGTTTTTTAAAATACTGGTAGCCAGATTTTGTTCATTTTCATGGTCTCTTCCTTTCTGTTGAAATTGTCCACATGCTTGCGTATTTCAATGGCTTCCCTGTGTAGTCTGACATGGTGGTTGTGAGAGTGGTCCAGCATTTCTGTGTTCCCAAATAAAATGCTGTGTCCAGGTTGGTTTATCAGGTGCTCTGCTATGTCTGACTTCTCTGGTTGAAGAAATGCTGGACCACTCTCACAACCACCATGCCAGGCTACACAGAGAAGCCATTGAAATCTACAAGCATGTGGACAATCTAAACAGAATGGAAGAAACCATGAAAATGAACAAAATCTGGCTACCAGTATTAAAACACTCTAAAATTAGAACAGCGAAACAACAGACAAGGACATCTAATCACCTCTCAACAAAAGATTGCCCCAGGCACTGCCAAGCCATCAAAAGCTAATAAAGGTGGTCAGTTGAGCCATTCCCACCTAGCTCCAGCAGACAAGAGACCTCACTACCTGTGAGGATGCCTGCCATAGATGCAGGCGAAACGTCAGGAGAGAATGCCTCTAGAACATGGCCACAGAGACTGTGCTGGTGTCCATCATGGATCACCTTCGATGCCAGCTTGACTAGGGCGGGTCAGCATTGCTTGTGTTATTGGACCTCACAGCAGCATTTGACACTGCTGACCACAATCTTCTGACCCACTGTCTTGCTGCTGTTGGAGTGAGTCAGGGGGAGAGCTTTAAACTGGCTGTCCACTTGCTCAGCTGGTTCGAGGTTTTGGGCTGGAGTGTTACCAGTATGCTGATGACACTGAGCTGGTGCTGAAGATGGAAGGCCAGCCGGACTCTGTCCCTGATTGTTTCCCTCAGAGCCTCGAGGCCGTGGCTGGATGGCTGTGTGCCAGCAGGTTGAGGGTGAATCCAGCAAAGACAGAGATCCTATGGCTGGGTCGACCGGGCAGTGGGGATATTATCCATCTGCCTACCCTGGATGGCGAGGCGCTACGCCCATCATCGTTGGTCAAGAGCCTGGGAGTCCTTTTGGACCCTCTGCTGAGGATGGAGGCCCAGGTCTCTCTCCGCCGTGAGCAGAACCGCCTTCTTTCACCTGCGGCAGGCTAAACGGCTGGCTCCCAACCTGTCCAGGGACGACTTAGCTACGGTGATCCAGGCCACGGTCATCTCAAGACTGGACTACTGTAACGCCCTCTACATTGGCCTTCCTCTGTCGGTGATCCGAAAGCTCAAGTTGGTACAAAATTCAGGTGGGAACTCCGATGAGATGCCACATCACCCCAATCTTACTCCAATTGAGCACTGGATCACTTTTAGAGTGATGATACTCACCTTGAAGGCCTTGCATGGTCTGGGGCCGATGTACTTGAGGGACCGCCTCACCCCCTCCCAACCCCAGAGATCCCTCCGTTCTGAGGACCAAGATCTATTGGAAGTCCCCAGTGTCAAGACCTTGCGTCTGACAGCAACCAGCCTTCACAGCAGTGGCACCATCACTCTGGAATACTCTGCGACCTGAAGTCCGTGCCTTGCGGGACTTATCAGCTTTCCGCAGGGCATGGAAGACATATCTATTTCGACGGGCCTTTGATCTCTGATTGTTTTTAAATTGTTTTAAATTGTATTAGATCAGTGTTTCTCAACCTGGGGGTTGGGACCCCTGGGGAGGTCTCGAGGGGGTGTCAGAGGGGTCGCCAAAGACCATCAGAAAACATTGTATTTTCTGTTGGTCATGGGGGTTCTGTGTGGAAAGTTTGGTCCAATTCTATCATTGGTGGGGTTCAGAATGCTATTTCATTGTGGGTGACTTATTATTATTATTATTATTATTATTATTATTATTATTTATTAACTTTATTTGTACCCCGCTAGCATCTCCCGAAGGACTCGATGCGGCTTACACAGGCCGAAGCCTCAAAACACAATACAATAGAAACATAACACAATAATAAACAAAGCAAATCAAAACAATTAAGCAAAATAACAACAATGACTACATCAAGACACTATTAAAAACTGGTTCGGCCGGCGCGATGGGGTACAGGGTTAAAAGTGCTGAAATGGTAGGAGGAACGTAGGATTAAAATCTATAAATCCCAACAACTACAACTATAAATCCCAACAACTACAACTCCCAAATGGCAAGGTCTATTTTCTCCAAACTCTACCAGTGTTCACATTTGGGCATATTGAGTATTTGCGCCATGTTCGATCCAGATCCCAATATTTTCTCTTGGTCATGGGAATTCTGTGTGCCATGTTTGATTCAATTCCATCATTGATGGAGTTCAGAAGGCACTTTGATTTAGGTGAACTATAAATCCCAGCAACTCCAGCATTACCAAATGACGAAATCAATCACCCCTATCCCCACCGGTATTCAAATTTTGGGCGTATCGGATATTTGTGCCAAATTTGCTCCAGTGACTGAAAATACATCTGCATATCAGATATTTACATTACAATTCATAACAGTAGCAAAATTACACTTATGAAGTAGCAACGAAAATAACGTTATGGTTGGGGGTCACCACAACATGAAAACCCGGACTAAGGGGTCGTGGCATTAGGAAGGTTGAGAACCACTGTGTTAGATTTTAGCCTGTTCTTGTAAGCCACTACGAGCCCCAGGGGAGTGGTCGCATAGAAGTTCAAACAATAAATAAATAAATATAGCCCAAAAAAACCTACAACAACCCAGTGATTCCAGCCACGAAAGCCTTTGACAAATAAATATGTTGTTTTGTTAATTTTATGTTATGTTAGGTTGTTGTAGGTTATTTTCGAGCTCTATGGTCATGTTCTAGAGCAGGGGTAGGGAACCTTTGGCCCTCCAGCTGTGGTGGACTTCAACTCCCACAATTCCTTGAGGCTCGGCATTGGGCCAAGGTAAGCCTTTGGGGCGAATGCCGAGCCTCAAGGAATTGTGGGAGTTGAAGTCCACCACGTTTTGGGGGGGGGGCTATATGCCCTGTTCTAGAGGCATTCTCTCCTGACGTTTCGCCTGCATCTATGGCAAGCATCCTCAGAGGTAGTGAGGTCTGTTGGAAATAGGAAAATGGGTTTATATATCTGTGGAAAGACCAGGGTGGGACAAAGGACTCTTGTCTGCTGGAGATAGGAGTTTATGTTATGTTGTTTACGCTGTATGTTTTGGGGATGTGACTTGGAAACCGCCCTGAGCCTCCCTCAGGGAGAGAGAGCTGTATACAAAGAAAGTTGATGATGATGATGGTACCTGGGAAGGGGGAATATAATGTTTATTCGGCTGAGGGGGGAAAGGAAGGGTCGTGAGGCGGTGAGGGATGGCGGGAGTGGCAGGCCAAAGGCCCAGGCAGGCCTAAGCAAGGAGGCTTGTCCTGGGGTGTCTTCCCCGAGTGGGCGGACCTGGTCTGCTGGATGGCGGCGGCGAGGCTGACGAGGGAGAGCTGGCTGAGGTTGCGCCGGAGCTCCTCGCCCAGTTCCCGCGACTCCTGCACGCTCTCCCGCTCCGAGTCCTCGTCCGCCATCACGACCAGGCCGCGCAGGGAGACCGGAGACGAGGATGACTCCATGGCGACGAGGAGGAGAATGGCCTTCTTGTGGTGGTGGTGGTGGCTGTTGTTGTGGTTGCTGAGGCGCCGAACTCCCTCACTTCCGGCTCCGCCCCCTCACTTCCCTTCACTTCCGGCCCCGCCTATTTCCCTAGGACCCGGATGGGAGTGGCAGCCGTCGCTTTCCCTCACTTATGGCCCCGCCCACTCCGTCACGTGACTCCCTTAGGCTTAAGGCTGCTTTTCCTCACTTCTAGCCACGCCCTCTCATGTAAATTTTTAATAAGGAGGAGCTTCCCTCAATCATGGCCCCGCCTATTCCGTCACGTGACTCCCTTATATAGAAAGGCCAACTTTCCTCAGTTGTAGCCACGCCCTCCCAAGTGAATTTTAATAAGGAGGAGGTGCCTTTTTCGCAACAGGCCACGCCTACTCCGTCACGCGACTCCCTTCAGTAGAAAGGCCGCTTTGCCTCACTTATGGCCACGCCCCGTCATGTAAATTTTAATAAGGAGGAGTTTCCTTTACTTATGGCCCCGCCCACTCCGTCACGTGATTCCCTTCAGTAGGAAGGCCGCTTTTCCTCACTTCTGGCCACGCCCTCTCAAGTGAATTTTAATAAGGAGGAGCTTCCTTCACTTATGGCCCCGCCTAGTCTGTCACGTGTCTCCCTTCAGTAGAAAGGCCGCTTTGCCTCACTTCTGGCCACGCCCTCTCATGTGCATTTTAATAAGGAGGAGGGGTTTCCCTCACAACCGGCCCCGCCTACTATATCACGTGACTTTCCCTAGCTTTGGATTGGAGTCCTCCTCTTTTGTCCCCTCCCTGACTACAAGAGGCCGCTTTTGGCCCCGCCCCCGTGCCTACGTCACTCCCTGATTACAAGAAGCCGTTTCTAGCCCCGCCCTCTTATTTACGTCACTCTGATTACAAGGGTCCGCTACCGGCTCCGCCCCTTTGCCCTACGTCACTCCCTGATGACAAGAGGCCGCTTCTGGCCCCGCCCCCTTTCCTACGTCCATGATTACAAGAGGCCGCTTCTTGCCCCGCCCCCTTGCCTACCTCACTCCCTGATTACAAGACACCGTCTCTGGCCACACCCCTTTCTCTACGTCACTCCCTGATGACAAGAGGCCGCGTCTGGCCCCGCCCTCTTCCTCACGTGACTCTCTGATTACAAGAGACCGCTTCTGGCCCCGCCCCCTTGCCTACGCCACTCGTAATCAGGGCGTGGCGTAGGCAAAGAGGCGGGGCCAGAAGTGGCCTGTTGTAATCAGAGAGGTTGCTTCAGGCCCCGCCCCTTTGCCTTACGTCACTCCCCTTGGCCCCGCCCTCTTCTTCACGTGACTCTTCCTAGCCCTGATTGGGAGTAGTACCCGCTTTCCCGGACTTGTCACGTGACTATCTCATTTCCGGCCCCGCCTCTTCCTGCCTGTCACCGTGACGAGACTTCCTCTCCTGCGGGCTGGGCCTGCCTTGCGCCTGCGCGCCGGAAGCCCTTCCCCGTCCCTCCCCGGCCTGTGCCGGCGGACTTTCTCGGGGCCGGTGGGCGCCACGCCGCCTTCGCCTCCTCCTCCTCCTCCTCCTCCTCGCTCCCCCCTCCGGGCCTGGCCCTGGCGCCGCTCTTCCCCGCGGCCGGTCCGCTCCCGTTCCCGCTCCGGGCCTTCCTCAGGTGGGCGCCCGCCTCGCACGCCTCGCACGCCCGGCCCTTCCTCCTCAGGCCTACCGCCTCCTCCTCCTCGGCCGCCATGCCGGGCCCCGCCGCAGGGAGCCGCGCCCGCGTCTACGCCGAGGTCAACAGCCTCCGCAGCCGAGAGTACTGGGACTACGAGGCCCACCTCCCCGCCTGGGGGTAAGCGAACCAAGCCATCCACCACAGGCCTGGCCCACCTTGGGCCCTCCCTCCCTCCCTCCCTCCAGGGGGTTTGGACTCCAACTCCCATCATTCCTAACAGCCTCAGGCCCCTTCCTTTTCCCCCTCAGCCGCTTAAGTTGTAGTCCAGGCCTGAGATAGATATAGACAGAAATATATCCAGATACTTCTTGTTCTTGTTTATATATACAGATATACCTATTGTGATATAGATACAGGTACACAGAGAGAGATACCAATGGAGATGCAGCTCAGGCCTGGCCCTCCCACCCACCCTTCAGGTGATTTGGAGTTCCAACTCCCATCATTCCTAAGAGGTTGGAGTCCAAAACCACTGGAGGGAGGGAGGCCTGAGATAGATAGATAGTTGTATCCCAGGCCTAGGCCACCTTGGGCCCTCCCTCCAGGGGTTTTGGACTCCAACTCCCATCATTCCTAACAGCCTACCGGGAGTTGTAGTCCAGGCCTGAGATAGATATAGACAGAAATATATCCAGATACTTCTTGTTCTTGTTTATATATACAGATATACCTATTGTGATATAGATACAGGTACACAGAGAGAGATACCAATGGAGATGCAGCTCAGGCCTGGCCCTCCCACCCACCCTTCAGGTGATTTGGAGTTCCAACTCCCATCATTCCTAAGAGGTTGGAGTCCAAAACCACTGGAGGGAGGGAGGCCTGAGATAGATAGATAGAGTTGTATCCCAGGCCTAGGCCACCTTGGGCCCTCCCTCCAGGGGTTTTGGACTCCAACTCCCATCATTCCTAACAGCCTACCGGGAGTTGTAGTCCAGGCCTGAGATAGATATAGACAGAAATATATCCAGATACTTGTTGTTGTTGTTTATATATACAGATATACCTATTGTGATATAGATACAGGTACACAGAGATAGAGACCAATGGAGATGCAGCTCAGGCCTGGCCCTCCCACCCACCCACCCACCCACCCTTCAGGTGATTTGGAGTTCCAACTCCCATCATTCCTAAGAGGTTAGAGTCCAAAACAACTGGAGGGAGGGAGGCCTGAGATAGATAGATAGTTATATTATTATTATTTATTATTATTTACAATATCCCAGGCCTGGCCCACCTTGGGCCCTCCCTCCAGGGGTTTTGGACTCCAACTCCCACCATTCCTAACAGGACAGATGGAGATATAGATACAGACCCATAGAAAGAGATATAGATACATATATACAGAGAGATAGAGATGTAGATGATATATACAGATACTTGTTATTGTTTATAGATATGTATATACCTATTGTTTTATAGACACAGGTGCATAGATATATATCCAGATACTTGTTGTTATTGTTTATATATACATATATACCTATTGTGATATAGATACAGGTACACAGAGATAGATACCAATGGAGATGCAGCTCAGGCCTGGCCCTCCCTCCCTCCCTCCCTCCCTCCAGGTGATTTGGAGTCCAGCTCCCATCATTCCTAACAGCCTCAGGCCCTCCTTTCAGGTGTTTTGCTCAACTCCTATCGCTGTTAGGAATGGTGGGAGTTGGAGTCCAAACCAGCAGAAGGGAGGGAGGGCCAAAGGTGGCCCAGGCCTGAGATAGATATAGACAGATATTTGTTGTTATTGTTTGTACATACAGATATAGCTATTGCGATAGAGATACAGGTACACAGAGATAGATGCCAATGGAGATGCAGCTCAGGCCTGGCCCTCCCTCCCTCCCTCCAGGCGAGTTGTTCAACTCCCATCATTCCCAAGAGGTTGGAGTCCAAAACAACTGGAGGGAAGCCTGAGATAGAAAGATAGTTATATTATTATTATTTATTATTATTTACAGTATCCCAGGCCTGGCCCACCTTGGGCCCTCCCTCCCTCCAGGGCTTTTGGACTCCAACTCCCATAATTCCTAACAACCTACAGGCCTGGCCCACCTTGGGCCCTCCCTCCCTTAAGCGGCTGAGGGAGAAAAGGAAGGGGCCTGAAGCTGGTAGGAATGATGGGAGTTGGAGTCCAAAACCCCTGGAGGGAGGGCCCAAGGTGGCCTAGGCCTGGGATACAACTCTATCTATCTATCTCAGGCCTCCCTCCCTCCAGTGGTTTTGGACTCCAACCTCTTAGGAATGATGGGAGTTGAACTCCAACTCACCTGAAGGGTGGGTGGGAGAGCCAGGACTGAGCTGCATCTCCATTGGTATCTATCTCTGTGTACCTGTATCTATATCACAATAGCTATATATGTATATATAAACAAGAACAACAAATATCTGTATGTATATCTCAGGCCTGGACTACAACTCTCACTTTTTAGGAATGGTGGGAGTTGAAGTCCAAATCACCTGGAGGGTGGGTGGGAGGGCCAGGCCTGAGCTGCATCTCCATTGGTATCTATCTCTGTGTACCTGTATCTATATCACAATAGGTATATCTGTATATATAAACAAGAACAACAAATATCTGGATATATATCTGTCTATATCTCGGGCCTGGACTACAACTCCCACTTTTTAGGAATGGTGGGAGTTGAAGTCCAAATCACCTGGAGGGTGGGTGGGAGGGCCAGGCCTGAGCTGCATCTCCATTGGTATCTCTCTCTGTGTACCTGTATCTATATCACAATAGGTATATCTGTATATATAAACAAGAACAAGAAGTATCTGGATATATATCTGTCTGTATCTATCTTGGGCCTGGACTACAACCCCCACTTTTTAGGAATGGTGGGAGTTGAAGTCCAACTCACCTGGAGGGTGGGTGGGAGTGCCAGGCCTGAGCTGCATCTCTATTGGTATCTATCTATATGTACCTGTATCTATATCACAATAGGTATATCTGTATATACAAACAAGAACAAGAAGTATCTGTATGTATGTATGTATGTATATATATATATGTATGTATGTGTGTGTGTGTGTGTGTGTGTGTGTGTGTGTGTGTGTGTGTGTATATATATATATATATATATATATATATATATATATATATATATATCTGTCTGTCTATATCTGTCTATATCTATCTATCTCAGGCCTGGACTACAACTCCCACTTTTTAGGAATGGTGGGAGTTGGACGTCCAAATCACCTGGAGGGAGGGAGGGCCTGGCCTGAGCTGCATCTCCATTGGTCTCTATCTCTGTGTACCTGTATCTATATCACAATAGGTATATCTGTATATATAAACAACAACAACAAATATCTGGATATATATCTGTCTATATCTATCTCGGGCCTGGACTACAACTCCCACTTTTTAGGAATGGTGGGAGTTGGAGTCCAAATCACCTGGAGGGAGGGCCAGGCCTGAGCTGCATCTCCATTTCTATCTATATGTACTTGTATCTATATCACAATAGGTATATCTGTATATATAAACAACAACAACAAATATCTGGATATAAATCTGTCTATATCTATCTCGGACATGGACTACAACTCCCACTTTTTAGGAATGGTGGGAATTGAAGTCCAAAACTATAGCTATATCTGTATATACAAATGATAACAACAACAACAAATATCTGTATATATCTGTCTATCACGGGCCTGAGCCATCTTGGGCCCTTCCTCCCTCCCTCCTGCTGGTTTGGACTACAACTCCCACTTTTTAGGAATGGTGGGAGTTGAAGTCCAAAACACCTGGAGATAGGGAGGGACGGCTCAAGGTGGCCCAGTATTGATCTACATCTATATTTATCTATCTGTGTATCTTTATCTATATCTCTGACTATAGCTATCTATCTCAGGCCTGGGCCAACTTCAGCCCTCCCTCTCTCCTGTTGGTTTGGACTCCAACTCCCACCATTCCTAGCAGCGGTAGGAGTTGAAGAGCTAAACACCTGGAGGAAGGAAGGGCCCAAGGTGGCCCAGGCCTGAGCTACAGCTCTATGCAGCTGTATCTATATGATTATAGCTCTATTTAGATCTGTCTCTATCTATTTCTCTCGGGCCTGGGCCATCTTGGGCCCTCCCTCCCTCTGGGTGGTTTGGACTCCAACTCCCACTTGCTAGGAATGGTGGGATTTGATGTTCAAATCACCTGGAGGGAGGGCCCAAGGTGGCCCACACCTGATCTACATCTATATTTATCTATCTCTGTGTATCTGTATCAATATCTCTGACTACATCTATCTATCTCAGGCCTGGGCCAATTTGGGCCCTCCGTCCTTCCTGCTGGCTTGGACTCCAACTCCCACCATTTCTAACAGTCAGTAGGAGTTGAAGAGCAAAACACCTGAGGGAGGGAGGGCCCAAGGTGGCCCAGGCCTGATCTACATCTCTAGCTATCTGTATATAATAATAATAATAATAATAATAATAATAATAATAATAATAATCTTTATTTATAACCCGCCACCATCTCTGGGTGGTTTGGACTCCGACGCCCGCACCTGTTAGGAATGGTGGGAGTTGAACTCCAAATCACCTGGAGGGAGGGAGGGCCCAAGGTGGCCCAGGCCTGATCTACATCTCTATTTATCTATATATCCATGTATCTGTATTTATATTTACCTATCTCTGTGTATCTGTATCAATATCTCTGACTACATCTGTCTATCTCAGGCCTGGGCCAACTTGGGCCCTCCCTCCTTCCTGCTAGTTTGGACTCCAACTCCCACCATTCCTAACAGCGGTAGGAGTTAAAGAGCAAAACACCTGGAGGGAGAGAGGGCCGAAGGTGGCCCAGGCCTGATCTACATCTCTATCTGTCTGGCTATCTCAGTGTAGCTGTATCTATATAACTACTAGCCACCCCCTGCCACACGTTGCTGTGGCCCAGTCTGTGTATATGTGTTTTGTGTGTCTGTGTATATGTGTGTATGTATATTTGTGCATAGGTGTATGTTTGCGTGTATATATGTGGTTTTGTGCCTGTGTTGTAATGTATGGTTTATTTTTTAAAAAAATTGGCTTTTTAAGTCCCTTCCGCTGTGTTTTTCAGTATGTTTATGAGTGATGGTCACTCGTTGGCCTGATAGATGTATTGTGTCCAT